CTGACTGAGATATTTAATTGCTGTAAAACAAAGGTGTTTACATGGATATTAAAAATTACTCATTTTCTTTAGAAACCAGAATTCTTAGTTTAAATAATGAAATCCTTTAACTTAGTTGCTTGTATTTTCAATGGATCAGTTGTTTAGTTTGTAGTAGCTAAAAGATAAGAGGTAAACATCAAAGAAAGAGAATAGAGGCATACATTGCATACATTCTCCTTACTCCAAAATTTAAACAGTACTCTGTTAAGAAACATCTAAAGATCTGTGTATTCTGGATCCAAAGAAAATTCTTTTTATTAATTTTTTATTCTAGAGTCTAAAGTGTTTTTTGGCAGGGGTGGGAGAAGGAGTGGAAGGTGGACAGGGAGTTAGTGTAAAATGCCTTAAAAAAGTCTTCTGTTTTTAAATTCCCAAAGTGTTCTGACATCTTTAATAGGTGTTAACAAAAAGATGTATTTATCCATCGTTTAATTCTGGATGATGATCAATTTCAGAGTACCTTCTTCGGGGCCCAGAGAAAAATAGTCTCTGTTAGACTTCATATTTTGAAAATGTCTGCCTTGATTGACCACCTTCAGCAATAAACTTGAACTCATGTGTCTAGTCCATAAAGAGCATAAAACCTCAGTCTAAATCCTCTTATCCCTTATACAGGATAAAGCCCTTCTCCCAGGTGATAGGTGACATCTCAGAGTCCCTTTATCTGAACATTTGAAGTAGAGATAGTCATTTTAAAATGATGCAAGTAGTCAAAAATCTATTTTTAAAAACCCATTTTTTAAGAGGCTGTCATCATCTCTTAAGCCTAGTGACCAATGTGAGCCTCATCAATAATGGCACATCCAGACATCATGTACAGCCTCACACGCTGCAGTAGGAGCTACAGTGTTACCCATGAAGAATTCTTACCAAGAAGTTTAACCTGATTCCTATCAAGCCTTTAGATCTAACTTTGAGCTCACAAGAAATGCAGAGGACTAAAGAACAAGTTTAGCAACACCATGAGGAAACATCAGACAAATCCAGAAAGTGGGACATTCTACAGAACAACTGGCCCAGAACTGTGAACAAGTCAATGTCATGAAAATAAAATGTATGTGGATGTGGTGAGAGGAGGCAGTTCTAGAGTAGGACCCTTAAGAAACAAAAGAACCAGATGAAATATGGGGATCTTATTGAAATAACCATTTTAAAAAGATGGTTGGGGTAACTGGGGGCTTATTCATAAAAGGGATAGCGTTTGTTTGGGATAATGAAAATGCTCTGGAAGGAGTGGTGGTGGTTGTACAAAATTGTGAATGAGCTTAATGCCACTGAATCATACACTTAAAAGTGGTAAATTTTACACAATATATATTTTACTACACAGTTTTTTAAAAAGACATTTTGGAAACAAATAGGGAATATGTGAATGTGGATGGATAGTTACATGAATTAAAAATTACATGAATCTTGCCCCAGAAGGTAGCTCAGTTCTTGGAGCATCACTCTGATGTGCCAATGTCGCAAGTTCAGTCCCCGGTGAGGGCACATATAAGAATCAACCAGTCAATGTATAAGTAAGTAGAACAACAAATTGATGTTTCTCTCTCTCAAATCAATAAATAAAACAATTTTTTAAAAAGAAAAATTATGCAAATCTTGTTAAATATGATAATGGAATTGTACTTACCTAACAAAGATATGTTTATTATTTATGGATGAATATTGAAGTATTTAGGGGTGAAATATATACACATACGTGTGTATATATATATATATATATGTAGTATATATATATACACTATATATATTCTGGGCCAGTTCTGTAGAATGTCCCACTTTCTGGATTTGTCTGATGTTTCCTCATGGTGTTGCTAAACTTGTTTTTTAGTCCTCTGCATTTCTTGTGAGCTCAAAGTTAGATCTATATATATGTAATATATATATTATATATATACTATATATATTACATATATATGTAGAGTGTATAGTATATATATACTCTTGCTTTAAATTACTTCAGCATGGACTTCCGGCCAAGATGGAGGCATAGGTGGTCACACTGTACCTCCTCACGCAACCAAAACTAAGGACAACAAGAATTTACAAACAAAAAACAACCAGAACAGAGAGAAATGAACCGAACGGCAGTCTGAATACCATACATCCAGATCGGTAAGGAGGGGAGGAATCGGAGGCCTACGGAGGGGGGTCGAGGGGTACCGGCAGGAAAAATCAGTGGTTGGCAGGCGCGGGCGCGCAGGGCACAGACGGCAGTTGGTGGACCCCAGAAGCACAGGGGCAGCTGACGGACCGGTGGCAGACCTCGGGCGGGCACGGGAAGCAATGAACAGACACAGTGAGGCGTGCAAGGCAGCTGTCTGTCCGCAGCTGCACATTCACGCACAGACAAACTAAGCAAAAACGGGCAGCAACACAGACCATGCAACCCAGGGACCCAGCGCTGGGAAACAAAGCCTAAAGGCACTGACTGAAAACACCTGTGGGAGCTGAGGCCAAGAGATTCGCTCAGCCTCACAGGAGGCTCCTTGTGGAAACTCACAGAGTCCGAGAAAGTACACAAACCCACCCGCCCAGGAGCCAGCACCATAAGGGTCCAATTTGCTTGTGGGAAGTGGCAAAGGGGGCTGAAGTCCTAGAGAGAGCAGAGCGGGTGCCAGTGTTCCCTCTTGGACCCCACCCCCACATACAAGGTTACAACCCAGCGACTGAGGTGTCCCGCCCTGGTGAACACCTAAGGCTCCACCCCTCATACGTAACAGGTGCGACCAGACCAAAGGAAAAAAATAAAATTAAATTAAAAAGATGGCTCAAACACTGTTAAAAGCCCCAGCGCCAGTTTTTTTAAGCGACCGAGAAATAGCCGACATATCAGATACACAGTTCAAAGCACTGGTGATCAGGATGCTCACAGAATTGGACTTTGGTCATAAATTAGATGAACAAATGCAGACTACAATAAGAGAAATGAAGGAAAATGCATAGGGAACCAATAGTGATGGAAAGAAAACTGGGTTTCAAACCAATGGAAGGGACCAGAAGGAGGAAAGGAACACCCAAACAGAAAAGAATGAAGAAATAAAAATGCAAAAAAAATGAGGAGAGGCTTAGGGACCTCCAGGACATCTTTAAATGTTCCAACACCCAAATTATAGGGGTACCAGAAGGGGAAGAGGAAAAACAACAAGTGGAAAAGTTATTTGAACAAATAATAAAGGAGAAATTCCCAAATATGGCAATCCTTTGCTTGGGAAATAGACCAGGAACCTCAGAGAGTCCCAAAGAGGTTGGACCCAAGGAGGAACACGCCAAGGCGCATCATAAGTGCATTACCCAAGATAAAAATGAAGGAGAGAATTCTAGAAGCAGCAAGAGATAAGGAGACAGTAACCTATAAAGGAGTTCCCATCAGAATGTCAGCTGATTTCTCAAAAGAGACCTTGCAGGCAAGAAGGGGCTGGAAAGAAGTATTCCAAGTCATGAAAGGCAAGGACCTACATCCAAGATTGCTCTATCCGGCAAAGCTTTCATTTAGAATGGAAGGGGAGATAAAGTGCTTCTCAGATAAGGCCAAGTTGAAGGAGTTCATCATCACCAAGCCCTTATTATATGAAATGTTAAAGGGACTTATCTAAGAAAAAGAAGATTAAAAAATATGAACAGTAAAAAAAGACATCAAACTCACAGTTAGTAACAACCATACCTAAAACAAAAGCAAAGTAAGCAAACAAAGAGAACAGGAGCGGAACCACAGAAATGGAGATCACATGGAGGGTTAGCAACAGGGAAGTGGGAGGAGGAGAGAGGGGAAAAAGATATAGAGAATAAGTAGCATGGACAATAGGTAGAAAATAGACAGGGGGAGGGCAGGAATAGTATGGGAAATGTGGAAGCTAAAGAACTTATGACACATGGACATGAACTAAAGGGGAGAATGTGGGTGGGAGAGGGTGGGCAGGGTGGAGGGGAGTGAAGGGGAAAATGGGACAACTGTAATAACATAATGAATAAAATATATTTTAAAAATTACTTCAGCATGAAAGAGAAAAAGGAAAAAATAAAGAATATATGGCAGTTTTTAAAAATTGTTTGATCTAAGTGATAGATACTGTATGCTCATTATACTATTCTGATACTAGAATTTTGCAAAGGAGAGGGGAACCATGGACAAATCACCTCTCTGTACAAAACCACAAACCATGATTAGAGTTCTGATTGGAAACGTGAGTTGCCCTGAGGTGATACTCTCTGGAAGGCCATACTTTCCAGTGGTAAGAAGCTGGGTTGCACAGGATGACTGCTGGTGGTCATGGTCATGTGAGTCTAACAAAGGTCTTGTATATAAAAAAAGCTAAAAGGAAAGTTCAAACGGGTGACAAAAAAGTGTCACTCCAAAACCAGGGTGCAGGAAGTCTGCACAAAGAATCATTGCTATCAACTAAAACTGGCTCCCCAGCTACCCTCACATCCTCCCTCAGGGTTTGGTCTGCTTAATAGCACTGAAAGGTCAGACTGTTGCAGTTCTGGAAACTAAACAGAGAGAAAGGACTGTTTGCACCAAAGGTACCCTGTAGATCATTTCTCTTTTACAAATCAGTGCACCAGAAAGCAAGTCACTAGGCTGTGTCTCTTCTAGATCACTATGAAGTTCATCTCCATCCTTATTCTTCTTCATGAATAGAACTTTAGTGTACCCTGACTACAAGTGCTCTCAGAAGAGAGGAGAAGACGACTTTGGAAAAATAACCACTCAAGGCACTTAATAAAGTAAGGCTCAGGGAATGCAAATGGATGGCTTCCCTGCCCACAATATCTTACAACATCTGTAAAGCACTTCATTTATACCAACAGCCATAATCTTGCTATGAAACACAAATCACTTTAATAATTCTCCAATTTGCTTCCAGGTTAAAATCTTACTCGCAAATTGCAAAATGAACAGCTTTCTCTAAGGGTCTTTGATTTGCAAGGAAATGTTAAGTATTCTTACTCACCAAGGCATTCTGCTCAGGTTTGGTTTGACCCTGTCTCCTCTGGTATTTGCATCTCCACATCTCTGTCAGGAATCTTCCTCCAATTAGAGAGCATCTAGGAGAGGGATATTGACCTTCTTTGTCCTCTCCTTCCTATTCTGCAAGAAGAGACAGTATTCTCTGATTGCAGGCACAGGGCCACATTCACAGTGAGTAGGGTATCTAGGCTTTCCCTCCCCTGTCCTCCTCTCCCTCTCTACCATCTTCCCTTCATTCCCCTCCCACTTTTCCCTCCCCTCTCCTTTCTTCTGTTTCTTCCTTCTAGGTGGCCTCAGTGTTAGGAGGGCATTTCTCATCTTGCAATGAAGTCTAGCTATTTGTTCCTTCTCTGTTCTCCCTAATGCTCTTTAATTTTTTTTAACTTTTCAATTACAGTTAACATACAATATTTTGTTAGTGTCAGGTGTACAACGTAGTGATTAGACATTTTTATAACTTAACGAAGTGATCACTCCGTAAGTCTAGCACCCATCTGACACCATACATAGTTATTACAACATCATTGACCATATTCCCTATGCCCAGGACTGTTTTTATAACTGGTAATTTGTCTGCCTAGTCCCTTTACCTTTTATCATCACCCCAATCCTCCTCCCATCTGATAAGCATCAATTTGTTCTCTGTATCTATGAGTTTGTTTCTGTTTTGTTTATTTTGTTTTTTAGATTCTACAAATAAATGAAATCATATAGTGTTCATGTTTCTTTGACTTATTTTCCTTAACATAATACCCTGTAGGTCCATCCATGTTGTTGCAAATGGCAAGGTTTCATTCTTTTCTGATGGCTAAAGAATATTCCATTCATGTATGTACCACATCTTCTTTATCCATTCGTCTATGGACAGGCACTTAGGTTGCTTCCATATCTTGGCTATTTAAATAATACATGGACAGAATTAAGGGGTGCAAACACTCTTCATTACTATCATATCACACCCAGTAAAGATTCATAAAATTGCAAGATTCAGGTGGCTTAGGGCAAGAAAATATGCCCTCTGAATCTTCTATCTTGGCTGCAAGATCTAAACCAGTTTACTAGAGAGCTCTGCTTTAGCATTTTAGGTACAACCTGTTTAATGAAATATTATAGTCTATTGACTCTGTACTGTCAGGGGTAATGGTGGTACCTAGGCTAAGCCTGGGCTTAGGCATTCTTATATCCCTTGGCCTTATAGTACATTATGTATGTATGTATGTATGTATGTATGTATCTATCTATCTATCTACCTGGCTATCACATACCTAACTACAGGGTCCAGCAGAAGTAATGCCATTGAGTGAGTGGGTGGGGGGTGTGAATGTCTCGCACAAGATAGGCAGCAATTTGAACATTTCACCTAAAATGTCATATGGTGTGCTTGAGTGTGATATTGTTGTTACAGAATTACATGCTTATGATTTTGTAATAAAAGATTTTTATGTAATAAAAAGGGGCATTATTTGTGCCAGACCCTGTATACATCTACTTATTAAAATATCTATCCTATACCATACAATTTATACGATTTAAGGTATATAGCTCAGTATATTCACAGAGTTGTGCAAATGTAACCACAACTGATTTTAGAATCAATTGTCACCACCAAAATGACACGTTATAGCCGTTTAGCAGTGACTCCCATTTCCTCCTGACCTCCACCATCAAACCTCAGCAATTAGACTTGCTACTGTATTTTCTATCTCTATAGATTTGCTTTTCTGGACATTTTATATACCATAGTTTTCTGTGTATAATGCATAGTTTTTTGCCTAAGTTTTTGAGGGAAAATAAGAAGGCACATTATGTGTGGGTAGTACCTGAAATACCTTGTATCCATTCTTGTGTTTTGTAATTATTTGTTACATAAAATTTCTTATACCATATGTTCAAAACTAAATTCTAAAATCCCTTTATTATATAAAAAACAAGTACCTAAGTATAAATAAATAAGTAATTGAATTAAAAACTTAAAATGAAAGTTTTTTTCCTGAAAGTTTGGACCAAAAACATGGATGTGCATTATACATGGCAAAATATGATAAATGGAATCAACCATATTGTTTTAAGTTTTATCTATCTTGTAATACTTCACTCCTTTTTATTGCCAAATAACATTCATTGTATGTGTGTATCATATTTTATTCAACCCTTCATTAGCTAATAGACATTTGTATTGTTTCTAACATTAGGCTACTATGCATGCTGCTGCTATGAGCATTATGTACAGTTTTTTTGTGTTGACATGTTTTTATTTCTTCTGGTGATATATATATAGGAATGGAGTTGCTAGGTTATTATAGTAACTTTATGTTTAATCTTTTGAGGAATTTCTAGACATTTCCAAAGTGGTGTACTAGTTTACATTTCCACCAGCAATGTATGCAGATTCCAATTTCTCCACATCCTTGCCAATCCTTGTAGCTGTCTTTTTTTTTATAGCCATCTAATGAGACATGAAGAGGTATCTCATTTTGGTTTTGATTTGCATTTCCTTGATGGCTAATGATATTGAGTGTGTTGCTTATTGGACTTTTTACATTTTCCTCTAAAGAATGTCTATTTAAATCATTTGCCCATTTAAAAACTGGGCTTATTTTTCTTTTTATTATTAAGTTATAAGTGTTTTTATATATTCTATGTACAAATCTCTTATAAGATATAGGATTTATAAATATTTTCTTCCATTCTGTAGGTGGTCTTTCCATTTTCTTACATGAAAATGGAAAGACATGAAAGCTTAAGTGTTGATGAATTTTAATAGTTTTACCTCATATTTAAATGTTTTTTAAATAGTTTTACCTCACATGAAAATGGAAAAACATGAAAGCTTAAGTGTTGATGAATTTTAATAGTTTTACCTCATATTTAAGTCAATGGTCCATCTTGAGTTAATTTTTCTGTGTGGTGTAAGGAAGGGGTCTATTTTCATCATTTTGCATGTGGATATCCAGTTGACACAGCACAATTTGTTGAAAGGACTGTTCTTTCTGCATTGCATGATCTTGGCACCCTTTTCAGAAATCAGCTGACCATAAATGTGAAGATTTATTTCTGGAGTCTCTATTCCATTCTACTGATCGCCTCATTCCAGTTTTACACTATCTTAATTAGTCTTCCAACTTTGTTCTTTTTTCAAAAATCAGCTGATTGTAAATTGAGAATTTATTTCTGGACTCTCTCTATTCCATTCTATTGTCTTTCCTCACGTTAGTGTCATACTATATTACTGCCTTCCAACTTGTTATTTTTGCAAGATTTTTGGAATCAGCTTGTCAATTCCTGAAAAAAAAAAGACAAGAAAACAATTCAGCTGGAATTTTGATAGGGATTGTGTTGAATCTGTAATCAATTGTGGTAGTATTGCCATCTTAACAATATTAAATCTTTTGATGCATAATTGTAGGCTGTCTTTACTTTTCTTTAGGTATTCTTTAATTTCTTCCATGATTTGTAGCTTTACTTTTCTTTAGGTATTCTTTAATTTCTTCCATGATTTGTAGCTTTCAGGGGGAAAGTTTTGCACTCCTTTTATTAAATTTATTTCTAAGTATTTTATTCTTTATGATGCTATTATAAATGGAATTGTTTTCTTAATTTTGGTAGTCAATTGTATTTCTATTTACTAGAGATACAATTTCTAGTAAATTATATTTTTGACTTTTGTATGAATTGACTTTTATATATTGATCTTGTACTCTTGGTAAGCTTTTTTTATGAGTCCTAATGATTTTTTAGTGGATTCCTTAGGTTGTTTTTTTATACACAAGATATCATTTACAATTAAAGATACTTTTTCTTCTTCCTTTCCAATCTGGATGGTTTTTATTTCAATTTCTTGCCGAAGTACCCCAGATGCAACCTCTAGTACAGTATTGAATAGAAGCAGCAAGTGCAGACACCCTTCTCTTGTTCCTAATTTTAAGGGGAAAGCATTTAGTCTTTCATTGTTAAGTGTGATGTTAGCTGTTGGGTTTTTATAGATGCCCTTTATCATGTTAAGGAAGTTCTGTCCTATTTTCAGTTTATTGAGTGTTTTATCATTAGTGGGTATTAATTTTTCTGCATAGATGCTGTTTTTCTGCATCTATTGAGATGATCATGTGGTTTTTCACCTTTATTCTATTGATATGGTGTATTACATTAATTGATTTTTCGATGTAAAGCCAACCTTAAATTCCTGGGATCATTCCCACTTGATCATTCTATATCATCGTTTTTTCTATTTTTAAACATTATAGTAAAATATACAAAACATAAAAGGTACCACTTTAAACATTTTTAAGTATACAGGTTAGTAGTGTTAAATACATCCATAAAGTTGTGCAATCATTACCACCATCCATCTTCATAACTTTTCATATTGTAATATTGAAACTCTATTCTCATTAAACAATAAATTCCCATTTCTCCCTTCCCCTGGAAATCACCATTCTGTCTCAACAATTTTGACTACTCTAGAGACTTCATAGTAGTGGAATCATATAGTATTTATCATTTTGTTACTGGTTTATTTCACTTAGCACTAATATCCTCAAGGTTCCATGTTGTAGCATAGGTCAGAATTCCCTTCCTTTTAAAGGCTGAATAATATTCCATTGTATGTATATACCACATTATGCTTATCCATTCATCTGTCAATGGACACTTGGGTTGCTTTCATATTTTACTATTGTGAAAATGCTGTAAATATGGGTATACAGATAGCTCTTCAAGACCCTGCTTTCAATTATTTTGGGACTATATCCAGAAGAGAATTTGCTGGATCAAATGGTAGTTCTACAGTATTTTTGATTTTTTGAAGAACCTCCCTACTGTTTTCCATATCTTCTGTACAATTTTACATTCCCACCAAAAAAATACAGGGTTCCAATTTCTCTACATCCTTGCCACACTTGTTTCCTGTGTTTTTTGACAGCAGCCATCTTAATGGGTATGAGGTAGTCTTATTATAGTTTGATTTGCAGTTTCCTAATGACTAGGAGTGTTGAGCATCTTTTCTTGTCCTCATTAGTCTTTTGTATATCTTCTATGGAGAAATATTTATTTAAGTCCTTAGCTTATTTTGAATTGGGTGGTTTGTTTTTTACTGAGTTTTAGTTTTTTATATATCCTGGATATTAATCCTTTATTGGACATATGACTTGAAGATATTTTCTCTATTCTGTATGTTGCCGCTTTACCCTGTTGATTGTGTCTTTTGATATGCAAATTTAAAATTTTTAATCTGTTTTTTCTTTTGTTACCCATTCCTTTGATATCATATCCAAGAAATCATTGCCAAATCCAGTATCGTGAAGTTTTTGTCTTATGTTTTCTTCTTTTTTTAATATGTTGCTAAATTCAGTTTTCTTGTATAATGTTGAGAATTTTTTTGCATCTACATTCATAAGGCAATATTGTCCTGTACTTTTCTTGCGATGTCTGGCTTTGGTATAAGGGTCACACTGACCTCAAAGAATGAGTTGGGAAATGTTCCTTCTGCTTCTACATTTTGGAAGAGTTTATATTTTGGTAAAATTCAACAGTGAAGTGATCTTGGGCCTGGGCTTTGAACCAATTTCATTTTAAGTAACCAAAAATGATGATGCCTGGGTAGGATGAGACTTAATTCTGGCTTAAATTATAGACTATGAGTAGAAGATCAGAGCCAAAAATTTCAAGTGTCCCACTTCTTTTTCTTTCACAAATTGAAACATTTAGTGAGAGAAGAGATAAGCCTTTGTGACTTTATTTCCTCATCCAACAAGTTTAAGATGTTTAGAAAATGGTAATTATAGATCAGGGCTCATTCTGGAGTTCACAGATCCAAAACAGCAATAACTCGTAATGCCCAGACAGATACTTCCCAGATGCATGATGTCAACCACAAGAGACAGCAAGAAGGAAAAGGACCAGGGAAGGCTTATGAAAATCACTCCATCATAAATACAGTTGTCATTATTACAGTCCCTATTTGGGTACCAGTAGTGAGACAAATACTTTAACACAATATACTGGGAACCAGGGCTCAGAGGATGTTGACTGGCTTACTCAAGGCTACCCAGAAAGGCAGAAAGACAACTAAGAATTGTACCTTTGTCACCTACTACCTGGTTTAGTAGTTTATTTTGATCAGTATCTGCTGGTATTCTGTGCTTGGAATGCACAAGGGAGATGGTTCTCAGAGCCTCTCTGTAAAGTTTTCATTTGGTCAGGAGTAATCTATCAGTACCTTTATCCACGATTCATCTCCAATTTAGTCTTCATATTGCCCTTATTTTCAATCAGAAACAAAATTCTGAACAGAAGTTCATAAAAATGTTGTTAGCAGTCAAGAAAAGGTTCACTGCTATTAAAATGATTTTAGGGGACAATTTCAGGAATGTGGGTGAGGAGCTCCAAAGACCCATCCTTAAACAAAATAAGCATACTGGTGAAAATTAATATTTTGTGGCCTGATTTGATTTTTTAAAAATATATTTTATTGTTCATGCTATTATAGTTGTTCCCCCTTTTCCCCCTTTGCCCCCCTCCACCCCGCCCGCCACCCACTTCATGATCAGTCCCTTCACTGTTGTCCATGGATCCTTTATATATGTTCTTTGACTAATCCCCTCAACTTCTTTCAATCAGTGCCACCACCCCCTCACCTCTCACAGCTGTCAGTCTGTTCCATGATTCTATGCCTCTGGTTCTATTTTCTCAGTTTATTTTGTTCATTAGATTCCTTTTGTAAGTGAGATCATGTGGTATTTTCTCTTTCAATGACTGGCTTATTTCACTTAGCATAATAGTCTCCCTTTCCATCCATGCTACTGCAAAAGGTAGGAAATCCTTATTTCTTTATGCTGCATAGTATTCCATTATGTAAATGTACCACAGTTTTTATGTCCACTCATCTACTGATGAGCACTTAGGCTATTTCCAAATCGTGGCTTTTGTAAATAGCACTGCTGTGAACACGTGATGTAGGGTAAGTGGAGGCAGTCTGGCTTCCTCACCCAGGTGTCTGGGTAACTAAGGCAAGCAGTGTTCCCACAGCATTGGAGGAGCCTGATAACTAGTGTTCTCGTAGCCTTGAGGCCGGGTATGATAAACCGTTCCCATAACATGAAGTGGGCTCGCATGCACAGAACTATGTTATGTTATGTAATGTTTTGGCAGTTTTGCAGCTTTGTTCCCCTCTAGTACTTAAACAAGTAGGGGCTTCCCACTAGTTAGACATGCAGCTTGTGGTGTGCATGGCTCACCCACCTGTGAATAAAGGGATATCAAGCATCCCCACGGCTCCACGCATTTTCTTCCATCTCCTGAATGCAAGAGTGGATCTGCCCCGCCTTTATCGGTTGCAACACATGTGGGTGAATACATTCTTTTGAATTGGTATTTTGGGATTCTTCAGGTATATTTCCAACAGTGGAATTGTAACCATTTAAAGTTATTGTTCCACAAAGGAACATGAAAGCCAAGAAGACCAGAGGCTACATGCTACCACACAGTTACCTGCTTAGAAAGCAGGGTTATTACTCCAAGAGAAGTGGTTGCTGTCCCTTCCCCCAATTTGAGAGCAGATATTTTGCCCAGGGGAAGATGCCGGAGATAAGAATATAGAGTTTCGAAGCTCTCCACAAGAGAATAAGCTTTATTTGGAACAGAGTGTGAGGACATCAAACTGAAGGGAGTTCTCTAAAACAATGGATATTTTGGTGATAAGCAATTAAGAGGAAGTTGGTTGCAACAAGATAGATTGTAGGCTATCTAGTGTACCAGAAAGAACCAGGAAAAAAGACAGCTAAGAAGAGCCCCACCTGGGGTCAGAATAAATCTCAAACACTAGACTCAGAAACTACTTCAGGATCAGATTGTGGAGCAATTTATGCTCCAGAGCATGAGAACATGTTGAAAACAACAGAGTGATTAGCTAGCAACTAATGAAGCCTAACGACTAGTGTGACCTTACCAACAGAGACAGACAACTTAACAGAAAGATCACAAACAGAAACAGTCCAAGAGAGCAATGCTACAATCACTGTCATCCCAGGATGACTGTGCACATGACCAAGCATGCACATTCTAAGGAGCAACATCAGAGGTTTCACACTGCAGGGAAATACACGTTACTGAAATAATCTAGCTAAGTCACTAAGCAAATCAAAAAGCAAACTATAACAATAAGTTCATATACTCAAAAATGAACAATAAGGTTGAGGGAATCAATATTCAGAGTTAATACACTATATTATCTTAAATGTCCAGTTTTTGCCCTGGCTGTTGTGGCTCAGTTGGTTGAAGCATTGTCTAATAAACTGAAGGGTTGCGGGTTCAATTCCCAGTCATGGCACATGCCTAGGTTGCAGGTTTGGTCCCTGGCCCAGGCTCATGTGAGGAGCAATTAATCAGTGTTTCTCTCTTACATCAATGTTATTCTCTCTCTCTCTCTTTATCCCTCTCACCCATCCCCTCTCTCTAAAATCAATAAGCATGTCCTTCAGTGAGGATAAAAACTAAAAATAAAAAATAAAATAAAATGTCCAGTTTTAATAAAAAATTATTACACATGCAAAGAAACAGGAAAAGTGTTTTGTGACTCACACATAGGTAGAAAAAAGCAGTCAACAGAAACACCCCGTGAGGGGGCCCAGATACCCAACTTAGCAATGAATTCAAAGCAGTTATTATAAATATGTTCAATGAACTAAATAAAACCATGATTAAAGAAGCAAAAGAAGGTATGACGATAATGTCTCATAAGGTAATCACTAAAGAGATAGAAATTATTATTATTACTTTTTTAAAAGAACCTAATGGATACTGTGAACTTGAAAAGTACAATAACAAAACACAAAAATTCACTAGAGGGTCTCAATAGTATGTTTGACCTGGCAGAAGAAAGAATCAACAAACTTGAAGACAGGTAGAATAGATGGATAGATAGATAGATAGATATTATTTATCTCAAGAACAGAAAGAAAGTAGTGAAGAAATATGAATGGAACCTCAGAAAAATATGAGATACCATTAAGCATATCAGCAAACACATGATGAGAATACAGGGAGAAGAGAGGAGCTGAAAAATATCTGAAGAAATAATGGCTGAAAACTTGTGAAATTTGATGAAAAACATTAATCTCACACTCAGAAAGGTCAACTAACCCCAATAGATAAAGTGATCCACATCCAGACACATCATAGTAAAAATGTTGAAAGAGAAAAATAGCAAAAAAAATCAAGGAAAAAAAAAGCTCATCACATACAACAGAACCCAAATGAGAATAACATTCAACTTCTCACCAGACACAATGGAGGACAGAAGGCACTGAGATGGTGTATTCAAAGTGCTGGGAAGGGAAAGAAAAAAACACCCTGTCAACTAAGAATCTTTTACTTAGTAATAACTATCAAAAATGAAAATAAAATAAACGCCTTCCGAGATACACAAAACCTGAGAGAATTCATTGATAGCTGACGAAAGTTACAAGAAATAAAGAGATACTTCAGGCTGAACACAAGGGACTCCAGTTAGTAATTCAAATCCACACACAAAAAACATAAGTACTGGTAAATGTAATTATATATTATAAAAGACAGTATATCAATGCCTATTTCTTCTCCTATATCTTCTAAAATGATCTAAAAAATAAATTGTATAAAAGAATATATTTCACGATGATAGCAAAGGAAATGTTCAGAAACAAAGCTGAATCTGAGTAAAAAATAAGTTACAACATGGTAACTCAAATCCATAGGAACAAATGAAGAGGACCAGAAATGGTACATAAGAAGGTTGATATAACAAATTCTAAATATAACTTGCTTTCCTTTTTTCTCAACTTCTTTAAAAGATATAAAATCATGTATTATAACAATGTATTATATAGTTTGTAACAAAAACTATAAACTAAGTAGACCTAACAGACATCGATAAAATGCTCCAACCACCAACATCAGAATACACATTCTTCTCAGCTGACTATGGACTATTTTCCAGGTTAGATGATATTCTAGATTATAAAACAAACCCTAATAAATTTAAAAGGTTTGAAATCATGCAAACTATGACTTTTGACCACACTGGAAAGAACTTAGAATCAGTAAAACAAGGAATTTTGGTAAATTCAAAAATATGTGATTCTTTAGAGAACTTGCAGCCAAGATGGAGGTGTAGGTAGATATACTTTGCCCCCTTGCGCAACCAAAAGAAGGACAACAACAAATTTAGAGACAAACAAACAAAAATAACCAGAACTGCCAGAAAATCAAACTATGGAAGTCTAACAACCAAGGAGTTAAAGAAGAAATATTCATTTAGACCAGTAGGAGGGGCAGAGACAGGCAGCTGGGGCAGAGAGGATCCCCAGAAAGGCAGCAGCTGGTGGACCGGGCAGTCCCACATTTGCATGCAGATAAACTGGGAGGAACAACTGGAGAGTGAGACAGACCACGCAACTCAGGATTCCAGTGTGGGGAAATAAAACCTCAGAATCTCTGACTGAAAAAACCTGTGGGGGTTGAGGTGGTAGGAGAAACTCCCAGTCTCACAGGAGAGTTTATTGGAGAGATCCACAGGGTCCTAGAACAGACACAAACCCACCCACTTAGGAATCAGCACCAGAAGGGCCCAATTTGTTTGTGAGTAGCAGGGGAAGTTAAAGAAAACCAGCCAAGAGCCGAGCAAGTGGCATTGTTTCCTCTCAGACCCCTCCTCCACAAACAGCGCCACAACGCAGCAACCCGGGTTCTGGTGAATACTTAAGACTCCACCCCTTACTACGTAATAGGTGTGCCCTGACAAAAAATATGGTCCAAATGAAAGAACAGGTAAAAACTCCAGAAAAAAAAATACAACTAAGCAATGAAGAGAAAGCCAACCTATCAGATACACTGGTAATCAGGATGTTCACAGAAATGGTTGAGTATGGTCACAAAATAGAAAAAGAAGTGAAGGCTCTGCAAAATGAAATAAAGGAAAATGCACAGGGAACCAACAGTGCCGGGAAGGAAACTGGGACTCAAATCAACAGTTTGAAGCAGAAGGAAGAAATAAACATTCAATCAGAACAGAATGAAGAAATAAAAATTCAAAAAAATGAGAGGCTTAGGGACCTCTGGGACAACTTTAAACATTCCAACATCTGAATCATAGGGGTGCCAGAAGGAGAAAAGGAAGAGCAAGAAATTGAAAACTCACTTGAAAAAATAATGAAGGAGAACTTCCCTAATATGGCAAAGGAAATAGACTTCCAGGAAGTCCAAGAAGCTCAGAGAGTCCCAAACAAGTTGAACCCAAGGAAGCACACACCAAGGCACATCATAATTACATCACCCAAGATTAAAGATAAGGAGAGAATCTTAAAAGCAGCCTGAGGAAAGGAGAGAGTTATCTACAAAAGAATTCCCATAAGGCTATCAGCTGATTTCTCAAAAGAAACATTGAAGACAAGAAAGGGCTGGAAAGAAGTATTCAAAGAAGGCAAGGACCTACATCCAAGATTGCTCTATCCAGCAAAGCTATCATTTAGAATGGAAGGGCAGATAAAGGTCTTCCCAGATAAGGTCAAGTTCAAGGAGTTCATCATCACCAAGCCCTTATTATATGAAATGTCAAAGGGACTTATCCAAGAAAAAGAAGAAGATCAAAAACATGAACAGTAAAATGACAATAAACTCACAACTATCAACAACCCAACCTAAAAAAAAAAAAAGCAAAAATAAACTAAGCAAACCACTAGAACAGGGACAGAATCACAGAAATGGAGATCACCTGGAGAGTTATCAGCAGGGAGTGGTTCGGGGGAGAATGGGGGAAAAGGTACAGGGAATAAGAGGCATAAATGGTAGGTATAAAATAGACAGGGACAGGTTAAGAATAGTATGGGGAATGGAGAAGCTGAAGAAGTTCTATGTATGACCCATAGGCATGAACTAAGGTGGGAGAATGTTGGTGGGGTGGTACCGGGTAAAGGGAAATAAAGAGGAGAAAAAAATAGGGGCAACTGTAATAGCATAATCAATAAAATATATTTAAAAATGAAAAATGTTAAAATATGTGGGTATTAGACAGCAACCACGGGGGCGCACCTGGCCAGGCGCTACCTGGGCGATCCCTCAGTGGAGCCTGACCCCCTGCATATGCCCACCTTCGCTCCAGACTACGGCTTCCCTGGGCACAAGAAGCGCGAGATGGTGGCCATGCAGCAGGAGATGAACGATGCACAGCTGGTGCTCCAGCAGCGAGACTACTGCGCCCACTACCTCACCCAGCTGCTCAAGTGCAAGCGTGACAGCTTCCCCAACTTCCTAGCCTGCAAGCATGAGCAGCACGACTGGGACTACTGCGAGCACCTTGAGTACGTGATGCGAATGAAAGAGTTTGAGCGGGAGCAACGGCTGCTGCAGCGGAAGAAGGGGTGGGAGCAAAGGGAGGCAGATCTGGCCAGAGGCTAGAGGCCTGCAAGGTGGCCCTGTAGTGGGCCCACCCACCACCTGATGGACCAGTGGAGAAATAAAAGCCTCCAGGCCCTTAAAAAAATATGTGGGTATTAAACTATAAACTCCTAAATAACCAATAGGTAAAAAAATTACATGGGAAATTAGTAAATACTCTAAACCAAATGAAAATGGAAGGAAAATACACTAAAACTTACAGGATATGTCAAAGCAGTGCTTAGAGGGAAATTTATGGCTGTGGATGCCTATATTAAAAAGAAAAAAAGAAAAGAAAGCTCTCAAATCAATAACCCATCATTCTTTAAGAAACTAGAAAAAGAAGAGCAAACTAAACCTAAATAAAGCAGATGCAAAGAAAAGTAGATTAGAGTAGAAATTAATAAAACAAAGAATTAAAGAACAATAGAGAAAATGAAGAAAACCAAAATTTGTTCTTTAAAAAGATCAACAACATTTACAAACTTTAGCTAGACAAAGAAACAAAATAAAGAAGACTCAAATTACCAAAATAAAAAAAGAGAGAGGACATTACTACTGACCCTACACAAATAAAAAGGATTATACTCAAAAAGGGGAATACTATGAACAACTGTAAGCCAAAAAGTTAGATGATGTAGATAAAATGGACCAATTATTTGAAAGACAAAACCACCTACATTGACTTAAGAGAAATAGAAAAGCATAATAAACCTATAATAAATAAAGCGATTGACTTAGGAACTTAAAACTTCCCAGGAAGAAAGGTCAAGTCTGAAGATGACTTCACTCTTGGATTTCATCAAAACCCAGTTACCAGTATCTTTGGAACACAGTTTGCCTCCAGTAGGATTTTCATGAGGATCTGTATCCCTGACTTAATTTTTACTGACTTCTTAATAAAGCACTACCATGAGCCATGTGAACAATGTGGAGATCAAAGTGAATTAGTCCCATCAGTCATTAAGATCTCTCCAGAGATTAGGTTTTACATATTCACCCACAAGACAAGGATTCTTTGTCCAGAAACTCCAGGTCTGAATCAGAGCAACTGACCAAATCAAGACCAATTCCGTTTGCTTATCTGCAGGAGCTAAACCATCATCCTGCCTTGCAGGCAGAGTTTTCACAGCACGATAAAGTTGTTTCAAACATTTGAAACCCACTCTAATGAAATTTATTGCCTACAGAGTTTTTATTTTGAATTATAATAAAGTTTTAGAAATAGTTAATGATAGTTATACAAGATTACGAAGCTACTTTAATGCCACTGAATTACACATTTAAAAATGGTCAAAATGGTAAATTTTATGTTATGTATATTTAATCACACACACACATACATAGAAACACATGGGACCCCACTGCTGCTTGCTTTCTGTCCAGAATATTCCTCAAGTTGTTTAACAGTACAATCTAATTTGGGACTTTGCCAGAACCTGAGTTTCTCAAAGAGCTCCCAAGGTTTCCTATTAGTGCCATCAACATGGCAAATAAAAATTTTTTTCTAATTTCCTATATCTCTGCCTGTTTCTCCAGAAACTTGGAAATGATTTGTAGCAACTTAGAATCCAGGGATGCAGACGGGCTTAAGATGAGTGTATAACATTTGGAATTAGCCTAAATTGTCATTCACTTCCGTGTGCCCTCATTAAGTGTTACCTGAAATAACCAGCAGGATCATTAAGTGGCTTACTCTAATCCTTCTAGATTGTTAGACTTAATCTAGAATTAGGACGATACAACCCCAATGAACTGCTACTGACTGACTATGTCTTTTTCCTGTTTATGTTAGCCCCGCTCAGCCTTGTGACCCAAGGCTCTGGAGTGGATCAGCCTCCTACTCACTCCCTCCTGCGTATACCGCATCTCCATGGAAACTGCTTGTCAGACCTTGCTTGGCTGCAGGTTCTGAAGACCTCTCATCTGCAGCCTCAGTCCTTCACAGATTCAGTCTTAATCAGCCAGGCTTCTTAATAGGAGCCCATATTAGGAACTCCATCCTCTGTAGTCAGTGGGGTCTATAATTGTCCTTAAGCCTCCTTTGGGGTACTCCTAGGGAGTCTGCAATGTCACTGAGCTGCCCTGGGCTTCCACCACTGATAGGTCAATGGCAGGGTTTCTGCCCTGGAGTCCTGCTTCAACCTGAACTCATCATCTTCTTCCAGTAAGCTCTCTCCTTCCCTCATCTTCCCCCACCCACAGAGCTGGGAGCCATTTTGAGCTTTTGGGGCCCCACCAAGGTCAGCTGGAACAATCTCCTTTTTGATTATCCCAAACTCTTCTTTCTCTGCAGCCCTATTGCCTCTTGCTATAGTTCAGGCCCACATTATGTCCTTCTTCAGTGATTGCAAGATCCTCCTCTACGTCTGCCTTCCTTGCATCCAATCTCTCATTACAACCAGTGAGAAAGCCTCCTTATAAAGAAGATCTGACCTGCCTTTCCTCCACAGTCAGTTAGTGGTTCCCATGGCCCCCATGATAGATTCCAGACACACAAGATTGCACCTTTGTAATCTGACCCCTGCCCACCTCTCCAGGATCACCTCTTGCCTCTCCCACTGCATAGTCTGATCTCAGCCACACCAAACCACTTTCCTTCTCCAACAAGCCACCTGTTCTCTCTTGCCTCCGTGACTGTGCACTGCTGCCTCCTCCACCTGCAATGTCCTTCCTCCTCCCCCTCTGTATAAGCCTTTCACAAATTCTCGGGGAACATTCCTGCCTCTTGAATCTTAAGTGCCTCTTCTAAGTTCTCCTAGAGCTCCTGCTCTCAATCCCTTTCTGCTGAACTGTCAACCCCCAGAGGGCAGAGTGTGCCCATCTCCAGCCCCATGCCAAGCATATTCACTCCAATGTCTGTTCTGTAAGTGAATGAATGAAGAATAAGCTTCTGAAAATAAAATGTCACCACATGCTGATTATAAGTATATCCTTTCTCAGAGTCTTTTTTGGGGCACCATTCATCCCCATACTGGCTCATCTCTGAGTTTGCTACACTGTCAGGACATTACAACTTGGACCGTTGGCTTCTGTCCCTGGGGGCACTTCCACAGATGGGTCAGTTGCACCAGTTCAGCTCTGGCTAGTCCCGGCTGCTTCCTTTTTGTTAGTTACTGGGGAGGTCCCTACTGGCCTCATGGCTAAACCCTTGTGGCCTCTGTCAGCAGCTGGAGAGTCATTCCTAAGAGCTGAGATAGTGGGTCAGCCTCTTCTTACTGCCCAAGGAAGATTCCTTTCTCACTGGTTATGCAACTTCATTGAGGCTCTGTTTTCCTTAGTGAAGTCCAAGATTTGGAATCATGGTAAGAGGAGAAAATGGCAGGTAATAGATAAGATCTCTCATGTTTCCCCAGGACATTTCTTTTCTTTCTCCCAAGAAGGAGGGAAGTAGTAAGGGAGCTGTGTTCAGAGATAACAAAATAAATCAAAGGGGAAGTAGAATGTGTAAGGATCCTCTCTCCAGAAATTTCGATGGATTATCTGGAAGGAAGCCAGAAAAAGAAAGACTTCTCACCAGAGGTAGGTGCCCACCCATGTGGGTACATGGGATGTTATTAAAGAATATTTGATCCTCAATACTATTTCTGTCACTTTTTCTTGAGTCAACACACCACTCATCTTCCAGAAATGAGAAACCAACCAACTTCTTGCTGTGGACCTGGATAAGATGAAAAAAGAATGAATTTCACCTCAAACTGAGTTGCCTTGCTACCAGTGTAAGGCTTTCACAGACATGGAGGAACAAGGACTCTAAGTGGAGAGGGCAGCAAAGCAAGGCGCAGTCTCACTTTCTCCCCTGCAGTGAGAAAGCCAAAGATCCATTAGATGAGAAAATGTGTATGAAAGCACTTAGCACAATGCTTGGCAAATGAATGGGATTCAATAAAATTGACTTTATTTTTTTAAAACTATGCTCAGTGTAGGAACCCATATGGCAATTTTGTGTATAGGAAGAATAATAGAGAAATATTTTCTATCTGGATGATGGTTAAAATTTTGCCATTAGAGTTTCTTTCCTTTCATCTATTAAAAAAACAAATACCAATTACAGGCAAAGCACATTGTTTTCAGAACTTTCTATTTTACTATTAATGGTTGATTATATATATAATTTTTAACAGGCAGTAGTGGAGAGAACTCAAAGGCATTAGACATCATGAATGGGGGAGAAAGTACAAATTTTCTATTTCCTCAAAGCTAGCCAAACCTATCCATCTAAATTGGAATACTATTACTCATAACTTCTACCACATAAATAAATAATTTTAATAAGCATAGGTTCTAGTAGAGATGAGATAGCAAATGTAGAAACCAAGGACCAACCAGGTCATTTGCCTCAGTGTTGAGAAGGTTTTTTTACCTGGACATGTTAGGAGTGGTAGGAGATTCATCTGGTGACAACTTAGAAAGAGTAGTCAGGGAAGCAAAAGGAATATAGAAAACATAAACACTCTAATGCACATCAAGTTTTTAATAGGCAGCTTCTAATTCTACTTTACGTATGTTAATATCACCAAAACCTAGACCAGCACTCATGGTTCATGTCAGTGCTCCCCAAATGTTTGCGTAACCAAAACCAAAATAAAAACAAATGAAATGGGTACTTGTTGACACCAGTCAGTGATGTCCTGCACGAGATTCAATAACACTGTCAGGTTAACATACACTCTGAAAACAAAGTACTCGTGTCCTATATTTGCTGAGCACTATCCCACATGTACTTTCTTTTTTACACTCAACAGTTCTCTGAGATACATAGCCTCCGCTGCCTCCATTTACAGGCAAAGGAACTATGTCACAACAGGTAAAGGGGCTTACTCAGATCAGCGAGAAAATTAATGTTAGCCTAGAGTCTAAGATTCCAAAGTCCAAAATTCACAGGCAAAGTGAAAAGACTAAAAAGAATCTTTCTTGGGAATAAAGAGTTCCCTTAATATTTTAATAAAGTAGTATTACAACTCAGTAAGTAAAATACAAAGGCCCCCGCCCCCACAACAGAAAAAAATGGTGAAGGCTAC